CAATTTGGATTTTCCAATTAACCTATCCCCACAAGCTGCATGTCTTTGGACGGTGGGAGGAAGCCGGAGTACCCGGAGAGAACTCATTCAGTCTAAGGAAGCAAAATAGCATTAAGTTTGGATCTTGGTTATCGTGGGCTTATGATGATTAAATGGATCGAGCATACAAATCATAGAGCAAACAGTTTTATTTACTCGAATTATTCCGCCCTTTATTGTGACGAGTTTCCCTACAAAATCGAATTTATGTGCTAGAAGGAAATGATCACGACCCACGATCAAATTGTTCCCTAAAGTTCCCAGGACTGAGGCGCAAACATAATTCCGTGTCAAGAGCACCTTAGGATTCATAGTGCTGATGTTCTTCCAGTGCTGCAGGTCATTTTAAACTGTCACCTTTAATCATAAGACAGATAAAAGGGATATGACGGTGTCAAAGCTGTCCACACAGAGGAATACATTCTGCTTGGACAACAATCACGACAGTCGCACATGTTGAAAATAAACAAAAAACATCTGATTTAAAGGTGGCAGTGCAAATCAGACAGTACCATGTGACTATAACTAATTGGAATACATCTGCAAAGCAAACCTATGTTAAAACGTTTTCCATCTTTTCCACCTCGTTTAAGATTGTTTTGTCATACAAATTATTCACATCATCTTTAAGAGTGCATTCAAAGTGATAACCCGTGAAACAAGAGGAAAATAGAACAAATAAAGCTGGATCACTGTATGAAATCTACAATTATTTTTAAGTTAACAAGAACATAGACTCGGGGTTTCCCTAAACGTTACTCTATATAAGCTCATAAGTGTTCCAAGTGCACAAAACTAATGACTTGTATTTACTTGCATAAACTCAGCAGCAGTCAGTTGACCGAGAATGTCACATTTCACCTCTTTGTTGTTATCTGTTACTCTAATAAACTCCAGCCATTAAATCTAATGGCTCCTAAAGATAAATTTTCAAATGCACTAAACATGGGATGATCCATAGTCTTCACAGTCAAAAGCCATTGATTTTCTTGGTTCTGTTCGCAAACAGGTCCGCTAATTATCTGCCAAATATTTCCCTGTGAAACAAAATAAGACATGTCAGATAGTTGGGAAGTGTCCGTGTGCATTTATATAAACAAACCACAGACTGAAAACAGTCAGCCACTGTTTCTGATGCTTAAACTGACCTGCAGCAAATCTCTTTTTGACCAATGATAGCCGGTAGCCAGTCCCGACCAGCTGGATGTCACAGCCTGACAGAGTGCTTCCTTCGCTTGTGAACTGGACTGCCAGCTGGGAGGGTTTACAGGGACCCTCGATCATCTGGAACCGGCCCAGGAGAGCCCCTACTCCTGCCAGACATGTGATATTTGCGTAACGGGACCAAAAGATTTTACTTTTAAAATCCAAAGAAGAAGAAGATGAAGTAGAAATTAAAAATGTTAAATATTATGAACATGGCAAAAATGAATACTTGCCTCCATTCTCAGACCTGTGAGACAGGCTTGGGATTTTCCATTGTATTGTCTGCTGCTCCGGATTCCTATATGAGGAAAGAAATTCCATGTTACATGTTACTCTCTCACATGTAGAATAGAATAGAATAGAATTCAACTTTATTGTCATTGCACATGCACAGGTACAGGGCAACGAAATGCAGTGTACTCTAAAGTATGTACTCTAAAGAGTAGATATAATAATACTATGAATGCAGTGCATATCAATAATACACAGGCAACTGTGCCAATATTTACACACACTTATATAAATACAGAGTATGAAAATAATGTAGCCTAGTTTCTACAAATAGATGGTAAAAGGTAGATGGTTGATGCACTAACATACACGTCAGTTTGCTCAGTTTACAATACTAGCTCGGCCTTAGCCTCTCAATACGACCACATACTAAGAGTCCTTGTCATCAGGGATCCTCACCAGGTGGCAGGTGGGATCATGGCCTGTAGTTTGGCAATGCCTCCATCAACAGGAACCAGGAAGTTGATGTCGTGAAGCGGCACCGGGGCAGCCAGAGCCTCCGTGTTGTATTTGTAGTCTATTCTAAGGTCTATGTTGGTGCCATCGCCACGCCAGCTCACTGCCAGGTTCAAAGGAGTGGACTGGATCCCGTCTGCTGAGACCTAAATGGCAAAGACAAAGAAGACAGTGAGATAACTGGATAGATAGAAAAAATATAAAAACACATCCGTGAATATTAACGGATATTATATACCTGATACTTGATCATATCCACATTGTAGTATGTCGCCTGAGGCTTCTGTTCAGCCACTTTCTTTAGATGGCTAATCAAGTTTGGCATATTTACCCAGAACTCCTTTCTGTCTACACTGTCTGTAGTGGAATCACTAAGGGATGAGAGGAACATCTTTGATTCAGCCAGCATAAAGTAACACTATGAATCTCTTTTGTTTGGACTGTAAAAATGGGCAACTGTCCGCTCCAGCATATGTGTTTGTCTGTAATCTTCATCTTACCAGCACAGCAGCTGTGGATTAGGGAGGACCTGCTCCAGTCGGTTGTAGTTGCTGATGCTAAAAGTGAGGATAGGTTGAGCTGGGTGGCTTGCAAAATGCCTGGTTATGCCAGCGGGGAAGGACAGCACCATCTCCCCTGTGATCTTCACAACACATCTGAGGCAGAGAGAGGACTCAAACTAAACAAAATATAAAGCTCACAGATCCCTCTCAGTATAAAAACCCTGAATACAAAGAACTGTGTACCTAATTAGGCTTAAAACAACCTAGCCCAGAGTGCCTTAGAAATATTCCCCTGTCTGCCATTATTAGCAGTGCATTGTTTCAGTTTTAGCATAAATCCATGCTGACATGATGTCAGTGCATTTTTAATGTAAGCCTACTTGCTGGGGTCAGCGCCTTTAAAGTAGGCATTGATGGTTTCTGTGAAGGCAGCTGCCACTGGCAGAGTGTCTTGGGGTCCCATGGTGAGTGGACTGGGACCTCTGGAGCACCCTAAAACACACATAAACACAAGTGACACTGCTATAACATCTCCTTATAAAACCGTAGTTGGGTTATATCCAATGTTCCCTCGAATTTTTCATGTGTCTGAGCGAACACACAAACTCCCTGAGCGGTCCCTTGGAGCACTGTGAGCGACATCAGACGTGTGTACTGTGGTCACGCCGGCATCTAATCCATCCAAGTTACATGGTTTATTAAAATAATCAAATTACAGCATTTACATTTATGTTACACTACTTTTAATTAACTGCTATAGCTCACTTACAATGAAAATTTAAAAAAAATCTAGTCATTGACCTGTGTAGTATGTTAACACTATTGGAAGTAAAAATAACTTGAACTCCAATTTTGAAAACACAACTTACTTTTTTCTTTTTCTTTTTTTTCATAAAGCTCTGACTTGTATTATGAGTTTGTGGTCTGGGAGAGAGTCCTGTCTGCAAAATATAGTATATAATGACCAATGTTGGGCAGTTAATTATATAGTTACTTCTTCAAAAAAGTAACTGAGTTTGGCAAACAACAAAGTTTTTTGCAGCTATTTTTTTTGAAATGCAGCCAAGGAATTTTTAAACAAACATTTCAAACTATTTATAGAACAATCAGCTGTTCTGCATCAAATTTGATGCCACACAAATTATTTGTGCCACTCCGCCATCACTCCTAAAACTTCTCCCGTTTCTTAACAACTAGAGGCCACGTTGCCATATCATTTTTTGATTGGTCGACATGGTACTTTTTTGGACAAATAGGAAAGGGGAGGGGGTGGAGTTTGTTTTTGCTCACAGGCTTTCAAGCCTTTTTTCTTATAAAACGCAGTTTTTACCGTTTCTTCCCGCAGTAAATATAAACAACAATAGTATTCAGCAAGGAAACCAAACATTGCAGATATTTTTATCATAACTCCGGTTTTACGTGGCCTATCAACACAATTTAAAAACTGGTATAAAGTCCACACTTTTTCCGTCAATTGTTCCGTCTGTCCTGCTCACATCTCCAATGGTTGTACACGTTGTCATTAACGTGGCTTCACTCCACATCAGCCACGCCGCTTTGCTAGCTAAAACACTGGTGTCGGCACACAAGGACGCTGTCATAGCCTGTCAACGACGTTGATTAGCTGCGTATATACGAATGTGAATCGCATCATTGGTTGGACTATGAGATAAGGTGGCATCGTTCTAATCCCATACGAAGCAGCCAGTCACTTACTGACTAACACTGCAAAACAGAATTGTTAAACTATTGATTTTAATTTCAATTCAGGTTAGATTTTTTTGTACGCAACGCAGATTTTCTGTGCGCAGAGACCGTGCCAGCAGTGCGCAATTGCGCACGTGCGCAGCTTAGAGGGAACATTGGTTATATCTTACTTGCCTGAAGGTGGGTTTCACACACAGAGGACAGAATAGTTCAAAAACAATTAAAGCAAAACCAAAGCCTCGATCATGGATCTGGATTCTAAGTAAGTGAGCAGGAGATGGGGATGGGTGGCAGCACTCTTGCGGACACAGCCAGTAAAGAAACGGGGAAGGTGCGTACAGTGCATGCACTGGTGTCACTACAGCAGCACTGTAGCTCAACTCACCTTCAAAAGCTAAATAAAACCTGCCGTGGTCAAACCATACCAGAGGCTGCGAGGCCTCTGAGTGAGCAGAGACATCAGGAAGAGAGAATCATGGAGAGGGACAAGACTGTGAGGCAAGGACACGATGAGTGACAGACAACATGTGGACTGAGATGCGCAGCTAAGCCGCAGAGACGAGCATGACAGCCATCTTGCTGGTAGCATACCTGTGGTGGACAAGTTGAGGTCCCTTCCTAAAGTTGGGGTGGATGCTGCACTCTGTGAGGTAATGGAGGAGATTGATGAAGAGCTCTCCGCCCGGGCCAGGGGGGCAAAAGGCGGGGGGCTGCTTGAAACTGGCGGACTGAACGGCCGGGTCTGGAGATGTAACACAAGTTATTTTGTTCGGAATGAAAAAACAGTCTAAGGAACAAAAGATAAATGAGGGGGAGAGAGAGGGTAAAAGAAAAGAACTTTTTCCACATACCAGGTCTGTGATTGGTTTCCCCGGGGGCAGCTTTGGTCGGGAGGACGGACGAGGAGGAGGAGGAGGAGGGACTGGGCTGCCTCGAGACTGAGGTGTGGTAGGACGAGCTGGAGATGAGGGGCCTGTGGCACATACCAGTGTCTGTGGTTAGCACAGCCTTCAGTTCACAGTGACTGAGATTTTTATTGCCGCACTTCCCTTCTATCAGCTGTGTTTGGAGAGAAACTGGAGTGCGAGACTCTGGTTGGTTCTGGCATGAAATAAAATTGCTGTTGAGATTTTTGTAGGTGTTCTTCTGATTCACGGGAAAAAAAATCTGTAGGAAGACGTTACCGCTTGATCTCTGTGCTGATAGAATCCTGTAATTTTCATACTGGTCTGATGTGGGATGCTTGTTCTCTGTATTCACCAGTTGAATGATGGTATATGTTAAACACGACCATTTAAGCATTTTCAGCAGTCCCCCTTTAAAATATCAACATTATATTTCCTTATATTTCTGGAAAGATAAGACCTGTTATGCACTACAAACAAAATGCTGTCATTTCACAATCACAACACTAGATGTCACTAAAGTTTGACCTGCTCATCTCTGTGATTTTTATTTTTGTGGCTGTGCTGGTGGCCTCGTCATTCTCACCTTTTTCAAAGCAAACAAAATTAAAGGACACTGCAGAATTTAAATAAAAAACATTAATCGTGCTTGGTGTAAATAAATCTCGAAGAGGCCACTGTGCGTGTTTGCAGCAACACAAGAGTACTCACTGCTGCCTGAGTAGGGTCCCGGGGAAGACATGATAGACCTGTAGGTAGTTGGAGGAAGAGGAGGTGGCGTGCCCCTGAAGCTTGGCGTCAGCTCTCTGGGGGAACCCACAAAGTCTGGTACATCTTCTCTCAGGTTTACACCTTCTGGAGTCCTCTTACCCCCTAAACCCCCAAAGACCAGCGGAGACGTGACTCCAGCACGAGGGGATCTACGCTCCGCTGGCAGAGGAGGCACAGGGCTGATGGGGGCAGGGGAGGAAGAGTACTCTGCAAACTGCAGCACCTCCTCATCAATAGCATCCTCTTCAGGGCACCCAGGAGGGGAATTAGAGGGGGAGAATTCTGGGGGCAGAGGAGGGGCTGGTTCATCTGGAGGAGGAGGTCCGAGTAGGATGGAGGGAGGCGAGTCTGGCGGAGTGAAACGAGGAGGAGACCCAGGGGAAAACGGCGGAGGTGAAGGTGGGGGTTCGTTTGGAGGTGGTCCAGGTGAGAGGCAGGGGGTGGAGGGAGTGGATGAAGGTGTGTCTGGCGGAGGAGAGTCCGGTGGCGGAGGTGGAGCCGGTTCATCGGGCGGTGGGGGCCTGTCATCGGTGAAAGTAACCCATCTGGGAGACATGGTGTCCTCACTCGTGGGTCCAAAGACGTCGTCTAGGTCGGGGGCAGGGGAGCCTCGGTAAGAGGCTGGGGAGAGGACATTCAGGTAGATTGGTGCCGAACTGCGAGCCGCCCTCCCATTGGGTAGATCGGCTGCAAAGAGTATATTGGAGAAGTGACATCACAGCTGACTGATCTAACTATATTCTTGACTGATGTTTGAAAATAAATTTACCAGCAGATTCTGAAGGATAGCCGTAGTGACTTCTCGATGGAATGTTTTTTGGAGGGAGTGGAGGCGGAGCTGCGACAGGTGCAACAATTCAAGGTCAGCGCAACTTCATTAGAAACACGAATTACAACAGAGATAAAGTTCACTCGTGTTTGCTCACCCCCTGTTGGAAAACTTCTGCTCAGCTGTGATTCTGATCGGGGTCTAGAATCTCCCCACGCGTCCGAAGGTACCACTGTCATTGGATAAAGGGGGGAACAGTGTCACCTTTGTAAAGGGAGTTTATTCATTTGGGTAAAGTTATGTCCGATCAATGGAGGACTGACCGTCATATCTGGCATATTTTCTCTGTAAAGGCAGCTCAAAGAAGGCAGGAGTGTTCTGTGACAGCCTGTCACTGCAAAAAAACACATGCAACAAGTAAAAAAATAGCACACATAGCTGCTCAAGGGACATCCGAAGCAGAGCAATAGCATACCATCTTAATGAAAGAAGCGTTTAATTTGCCAACATTGCTAAAAGGATGACAGACCTTTGCGTCTCTGGGGCAGGACTCGGTATCGGGGTCGAGCGTCTGGGTCTAGCGATCTCCTCACCTATAAGAAAAATAACAAAAGCTCAGCTCCTGCTCTGCTGAGACTACGGTTATGTTGTTCTGGTTAGGAGTGGAGAAGTCCCATCCACCAACTGTTCAAACCTTTTGTTCACAAGTGGCAGCCAATCAGAAGAAAGTTGGTTTAAAGGAAGAGATGCTTAAAAGGCTTGTTTCAGACATAGAATTTAAAAAATGACTACACAGAGGCTTAGAATAAGTTAAATAAGGATTATTTTGAACCCTGAATCATGCAAAGCTCCTCAAATAGCTGGGTACAGAGCATAATATATCCTCTTTAATATGCGTGCAGTAGCAACGTGGTTATCAGCACAAGTACAGGAATACGGGAGGAATTTTGAAAAGCGATTTTTAGAGATGTGTACTTACAGGACAAGTTCCTTTTTATCTGCCCCTGCAAAAAAAAGAAAAGTAAAAAAAAAAGAAATCCAAAAAAAAGAAAATGTAAGGCTACAGATCATATTATACACCGTATACAAATACACATAATCTTCAGTCCTTTAAGATGTTCTTCTTTCTTATTATATCAAAACACAGTACGATTATAGGAAATCTAATTTGTGTATTACTCCTCTGGCTTAAGTGCTCTTCATCAGTCTTGATAGTTTTGGTGTGACTTGAACAGAATTGGAGACATCAGCTTGAGAAGTCTGTGCTTTGTCTAGTGCTGCCAAATCGTAACTACCAGCTCCATTCGAAAAATAAAAAGCATCTGAAAAGCAGAAATGCCTCCTTTCAGAAATGATCATCAGAAAAATATACATACTTTCTTGTGAGTCTTTTCGTGAACGAAGCACACATGCTAACTGTGTCAGTCAGCAGAAGGAAGTGTGCATCTACCCGTGATGGGAGGCTCATGCTGACATGACAGCATGACAAGGTGTAAACATTAATGGCGCACCCCTTCTGCTGAGCTGTGGTACATTTTTTTGGAGCTTTGAGAGGCAAAAGTCAAGTGTCACGTATTCAAGAGAAGGCGGAAATTTCTCCCGTCGGTATCTCTGGTGGACAAGGCAACTCGCTAACTAAACAACGGATGAACAGCACTACAGCCTGAGATAAAAATGTTTGTCTTTATTTTCTGCATTTTACAGAGTAAGGCAGCGGAGATCAGAAAGCTGCATTTGGGGCTATCAGTGGTAAAACAGCCAGCAGAGGGGAAACTTACCGGACTGCGTCTCTGAGACCAGCAAAAAGGAAGAGAGAACAGACCTGGGTCAGAGAGTGAGTGACAAATCAGTCAAATGGACACTAACTACACACACCGCATCTCTTTACTTTAACCGCAAAGCCTCAATAATGCAGCATGAGCCGTAACTCCCTGGAGATTATGCGGACAACACGAGCATCACCTACAATCAGCACGCACACAGCCTCACACCGAAGACAGCAGGGTCTCTAGATCAACGGGTTTGGAACTGTATGTGTGTTAGGTTTGCTTTGCATTATGTAACGCACACGCTTTGCCACAAAGGTTTAAGTAAAGCTGTCGCTGAGCAGGAAAAAACTGAAGGAACAGAAGCAAGAAGAAAAAGAAAGTTGTGATTTTTTGTGAGGCAGTGAGGTTGGGAAAGAAAGTGCATGCAGGGAAAAAAAAACGAAAGCCAGCGAAGACAGTCTACGAGATCACTACGACAGGAGGGAACACGTCATCAAGCGTTTTCACCACATCTCACGCCATCTGTCAGGGTGCTGATACAGATGTGAAAATGTGTGACAGGCTTACCGGACTTCTCCTCTACAAGAGGGCAGCAAATAAGTGAGAAGAAAAGACAAGCGCAGGCAGAAAGTCAAACAGATTTGAGAGAAATTAGCAGCTGCTAAAGTATATGAACTGCATTGAGCGTGACTATTGTGCTCTTCGCAACTGTGCAGCAGAACAGGACTGCAGATCAGCAGCACTCACCAGAGACGGGGACAGCGCCAGGCCTCCCACTGACGCTTTCAGCTCGTCCATGGATGGAAGCACACACTTGGCACTGTCTGACACCAGCGGCTTGATCTTAATTTTGAACTTTTTTTTGCTGTCCTCGTCATCCTCTGAGTCGCTGGACGAGAAAAAGTGCTTTTCTTTGGAGGCTGGTGAACACTTGTAAAGGGCAAAGAGGAGGAAGTACAACATGCTGTACAAAAATGCAGATAGTTCAACCTTCTGTAGCATTTAAAGCAAGGACAACGGTGCAGGACAGGAGTGAGACATCCATTCTGTGTCCCAGTTACCAGTATTACAACTGCTGTAACTGACACTCCTTTCTCCGCCTCCACTAAATCTTCCTGCTCAGGGAAGGTCTCCACAGTGTCAACTATCTATGAATCCAGTTCAAACATATACTCCCACTGCTGACACCTGTGGGAGCAGAACTGAGCGTCAGTGGTTAATGAGAACTGTGGTTTAGCGACAACTGTAAAGCCGGTTCGACGTAATGTGGCTGTGTCCGACTGCCTTGCAGCAGGGGTGCACATACGCAGGGATTTGGCCTATTTAATGCTGAGAAGCACTCAACCAATGAGTCACAAAGCCAAACAGATCAATAGTTTTTGCTGGCGAAGACTCCTAAGTGTGCTACTTCTCCTTCCGACTAAAAGGATATCATCACCCTCGTCACCAGGCCGGAGGCTGAAGCCCTCCTCATCTACATCAGGAGAGGCCTGCAAAAGAGAGACAGCGAGAGGGAAATGGTGACGGTCATTTCTAGCCAATCACACACACTGTAACAAAGCCACCCTCAAACTCTTCAGCAGCGCATAGAAATGTAGATTAGATTTCACAGATGTCTTGCTGGAGACGTTCCACTTGCTAGATGAAGCTCCTGCTGACTCACAGATTATGCACCGCCATAACTCACACACGTTTGTACCCTTTACTCGGTAATTTTAAACCTAGCGTCACATGACACTGATTGCACAGCACAGCACTGCAAGTATTTCCAATGCCAGAGCTGCAGAGTGCATGCAAAAAGAGAGACAAAGAGAGAAAATGTGCAGGTGTAGGCTGTGGATACTTACATATCTGTCCCAATCAATCTCCCCATAGAAACCATTGGGAGCCCCGTTGGCCTTTTTCTATCAAAACGGAGATCATAAAGAAGGCAAAACGATAAAAGCTTATGACGTTATACTAAAATTATTTTAATATCAAAAATTATATTTTTTTTAATATACTTTTAGATTTTTTTAATGTACCATAATCAGAATAAATTATTGCTGCAGGCCCAGTTCAATTAAATGTAATTTTATTCATAGCACCAGTTAACAGTCTTCCCAAAGTGTTTATATGTCCAGGTAAAGAAAGAACCCAAATGAAATTTTTATCCCCTAAAAGCAGCACTTGGAAACAGCGGTGCAGAAAAACTGCCTTTTAACAGGAAGAGACCTCCAACTAATCCGTTTAAATCTTGTTAAAGTCACTGTGCTGTAGTTTCCTGTTGTGCTGTTATAATCTCCTAGGTATAGTTTCCTCTGTTAAACAGTCACAAACACTTAGAGGGCCAAAAAAAAACAGGTAAATTAAAGGAAACACTTTCATTGTGTATGTACGTACGCTTCCTTTCTTTCCACTTCCACTTCCTTCTTTGTCAGGTGAGCTCCTGTTTGACAAAACAAGCAGATGGAAGAATTAGGTACCAGTATACCAGTAGATGTTTCTTCATTTGTATGTGGTTTTAAAAAAGTGGGTCCAGGTCTTGTTTTAAATTATTTAATGTAAAATACCCATGTTGTGGTACCCAGATTATTTTTGGTATCTTTTGCAGGTACCGCATAGACCTATAGCACAAAATTTCCTACAATTTTATAAATCCAACAATAACTTTATTAGTGTCGTAGAAGTAGTTTGGGTTGTTTTACATCTCTATGCATTCACATTCTCAAACCAATGAGTTCTCAAAGTGTTTTAGGGATTTTCTCCTGTTACCAGTGAGTGTCTGAGGAAACTCACGTTGTTTCTTTGTCCTTGTCTTTCTTTCGTAAGCCCAGGGCTTTCCTGGTTCGGTTTTTCAGTCCTAGCATAGAAACACACACAGGAAAGGAGCGCGTGAACATTATCATTAAGAACTCATTTTAAGTTGTTATAGCCAAATATAAAATTACCTATATAGACATTAAAATGCACTTGAAAGCAAATAACAAAGAAGAGTAATGGGCTGGGTGTATAAGAGCCTGGGGATGAGTACGGGCTAGTGGATACAGAGAAGTTACAGTAACCCCAATACGGAGATAAAAATTAACGTATTGATTTGGAACAAACCCCAGGCAATCTGGAGAGAGCCTCCACATAAAACGAAGCAGTGTCCCCTTAATGACTATGTAGGCTGTTAAGAAAAAATGAACAACCATTGATCAATGTGTTCACTTCATTACCACGATTCAACAGCGCAGCCAGGGATCTAGTACAGCGTCCCATCAGCCAAACTGAATGCCAAAAGTCCTGCAGCACTGTCGGCTGGCAACATGCAGCGATGCAATCAGAACAATAAACACAAAGAAAAACGTTTTTTCCGTTTCACCTTATGGTGATTTTTCAAAGGTTTTTGAAATGATTAGGACACAGAACATGCTGTATGCAAATGTAATTTGGAGCACTTATTATCAGCTGACAATAAAAATAACTAGAGGTTGTTTAATGATGCTCCATGCTGCAGGAGTGTATTGATTTAAAAATTACATCAAGTCTATAGCCATGCGAGCATGCTAACAGGTCCGTGAGGCTACCTAGGCCCGACTAATAATAACTTTAGCTTAACGTGCATTTACAGTGTTAGCATTCTGATGTTTGGAGTTCATCACATCTATTAACATGTTAGCACATTAAAGCATAAAATGTTAGCATGCTAACATTCTCTAATTAGCAACACAAAGAGGAGAGAATTAGCTAACGTGCTAAACAAAAATTCTCTGGGTGTTATCTATGAAGGCTGTTTGCTGGTATAATTAAAGATAAAGTATTCTTTTATTTAATGAGTGAATTAATAGGTCAAAAGTGCTCCAGTCCAACATCACTGGTCTAGAGCGCTTAGTCACAGTAATGAATCACTTATTCTGGCTCAATAATTCAACGTATTTATATTCCAGAAAGTGCAGTTAACCAAGATGAGTGACTTTAGGTACTTTAATGTATTTTGACTTGCGTACTATTACACTATAACATATAACTTTTCACTTAAATAAAAAGTCTGAATAATTGTAAAGTTAAATGTACTCCACTTAAAAATCTTTGAAAGACACCTTACACAAATTCTGACAAAGAGCACAGTTTTCTTTAAAAAAAAAAAAAATCTGTGTGTTTGAGTGTGAGTTTGAGTGCGTGTGCACGCATTTTCTTTTCCCCCCAAATAAGCAACCGACAGGTTTGCATAACTGTGTTTTAGAAGAAGCGAGCGCAGTTGATAGTCAAATCCAGAGCGACAGGGACACGTGTGATGAACAGTTGGGAGGATGAACATTTTGTGCCACTCAGAAGCAGCTGATACCGTTTGTGTGTTGCTCTGCTCATCATCCCTTTGTGTAATCTGCATGCTGTGCTTAAACTGGATCACATTTTCTAAACAGACTTACCGCTTTTAATTATTTTTTTGTGCCTTACTTTTTAAATTCATGTCACAGATATTGTGTCGTTAAGATAAACACAAAACAGAAGAAACTCATTTCAAAATTAAATTAATTCCGAGTCACTGATGTGGTGATTACCTTCACTCATACTTAAATCCTAACAAATATAAATGTTAATCAGTAGCATTCACATTCTTCTGACAGGGTCTGTGATGTGACGTATTAGTGGCTCGACTGGCAAATATTATTCCTGCATCCTGTCTCTTTGTTAGTCAATCACAGGTCTGTACCACAATTCTTCTCTCCAGTCCTAACCTGCATGTGACATTGTTGGTAAAGATCAGTCCCAACACTGATGAGTAACAAACCTGTTGAACGACTACGTATGACACACTGAGCGAGTACAAGAGGTCTGGTCAGACTGACTGCAAAGCGATGCAGATCACACTGTGCGTCACAGCAGGACTGTGTTGTTTTTGTAACCCATTTACAGAGTTTGCCTGAGGAGAGCCTCATTAAACAGAGGCATCATACTAATTAATGATACTAGCTGTAAATATAGTTGAGTTAGGGTCTCCTTCATGCCAACTCACAGACACACAATCTTTAGACACGATTCTGCAAAACATTTCCAAGGACCAAAGCGATGGATTCACACGTCACCCTACTTACTCACAAATAACATGTTCTTCACATTACTGCTGATAATTTAACTATGTAACTTCCCTATAGTGCCATTTTTACACTTTCAAAATCGAGGATTAAAATTCAAGTTATTTTGGGTTTTTTTTACTCTGCACGTGAAATACAAATGGATTTGCATTTATTGGTAATGTGCTACAAGACTTTCAGCCTTTTTACAGCTATATCATTTTCTTAATATGACCAAATTTAACCTCAGGTATTCTTGCAGCTGTTCTGTAGCTTGTAGTCTCTTCTCTACTATATACTGTTGTTCTACATTTTACACAGTTAATTAGCAGATGATGCAGCTGGAAGCTCAAGAAGAAAGCTACACACTGACATCTACGCACAGCTATTTACAACAAAGGAAACTGCATCTAGGAAAGAAGATAAGACTAAAGCTGTAGGAGAAATGTTCACAGTGGAAACTGACTAATGTTCTTAGACAAAGTATTGTCAAGAACGATGCCTTGGATTCACTGTCAAGTTCTTTCAGACTATGACACAGTTTGTATAAACGTAAACCTCGATAAACAGAAGAATGGCGCCCATAATTTGTGTAAATCCCTAAAACAAACAGCTAGTCAGCTATCTTGGTTGTCAGTTGCGTGTAGCTCAACTAGCATGCCGCTGTTGCCAGTGACACAGAAGAGGTTTCAAATAAAGAAGGAAAAAGAACAGTTCTGCTCTGATGAGCGGTTTGAACAGGTTTTCTCTGCTTTCTCTTCACATCTTATCCTCTGACTTTTGTTCAGTATTTTAGATATTTACAGTTTCTTACAGTATCTTAACTTTATGTTAGCAGACAATAAATTCTGCCCTTTCCACAACGTCCATCCTTTCCACCCACTCCCTTGGTTTTCTTCTTTTTACGCGCTTCCAGCCCTATCTCAAGTAGGTTTCAAGTTTCTGCAAGTTGATTTTTATACACTCCTGACATTTACTCCTGCCTGGAAGAAAAAATCAATTTGATACCTTATGGTATGCCATGGAAAATGATCAGCGGGAATTACAGTGTCTGAAACTTGTAAAACTAGTAATGTGGCCTTTAAAGCATAAACTTCTAGTACAAATAGGCCACCTGGCCAAGAATACTGCCCACACTACTGCAATTAATGATTCTGATTTATAGAGAGGACCTGCACATTTTATCTTAAGCCCAAGAAGCATATTACTACACCTATATTTTAGCCCAGACCTCACTAAATGTCACTAACTACATGCTAACACTGTGTGCACATGTAGCTAACAAAGGCTACAGTGAGCTGGTGACATCTGTGTGAGTTTCCTCCAGCTTATGAACCGAGTACAATATCATGTTAGGTTGACTGCAGGCCCTCTGCTAATAATAGCCACCTTCCATTACCACGTAGGCACAAATGGATGATAAAGACCCAGCATCACTCATGCAGAGCAGGATGGTTTATAATGTACTTCACCTAACTGTAGGACAGCATCCTTTACTTCAGTTTATATGAGACATGCACTAAATGCTCCGAGACTGAAGGATCACCTGATAGCAACAGCTAGTAGTAATGAATGAGTACAGCTACTTGGAGTGGTCACATGTCTCCTTACATACACATTTATATGACATAACTGCAAGATTAGCATGCA